ACATCAATCAATCAATCAATCAATCAATCAATCAATCACTCGAAGAAATCAAGATCCTAGGATCTTGAACCAATCAATATTCTTGCTTTCTATGCGACGGGAGCTGAGGTACAAGGGCTTCCCGAACCATATCTTCCACCAGACCCTATGTGACTTGTCCCACAAGAATGCAGGTTGTTGGACCTTTTGGGAGGATTGGTTCTCCGAGGGTCTGTTTGAGGGGTTTTCCGGGAGGCGGGTTTGGAGAAGACCTGGTCTGGGTCCCAGATCTGTCACGAGGTCCGTTGAGGATTTGCTGGGTTACAATACGAGGTAGGAAACGTGTTCAGACTGTAAACACTGAAGGGGATCGAGTTTGGGCACTTTTCGATAGGTGGATAGGGAGAGGACCAGTTTTTCCATCCCAAGTTCCGCCACAGGGTCTGTTATGGATTGGTTGATTTATCGCGCTGAGTAGGAAACGTGGTCAGATGGAAAACGCATCTTTCAGCAAATACGTTCCTCTGCATCCTTCTGCCATTTCCATCCGACGGTCTCCCTCTGAGTCATTTCGTCTTATTCACCCATCTATTCGATTCTCTGCCATGAGCAATCTCCCCCTGCTTCCGCCATCCTGATGTACTCCCGTCCGTCCCACACATGGTATCCCGCTTCCCAATCTGCGTGCCCCGATCATGTCCTTTCTTCATCGCCCCTCCTGTATGCCAACTATCTCCCTCTCGTCTCTTCCCACCAGGCATATCTTCTGTCCGCATACCTCGATTTCACGGTATCTTTCGATCCAAGATGGCATGCTCCTTCTCTGACCTAATGCTTTTTCTCTGCTCCTCGCTCTGCGCTATCTTGCACCTTTCCCGCCTTGGCCTGCCTACCCCTTTCTTCTCAATGAAGGAACGAATGACGGGACGAACGTGGATCGTGCATATGCACATCGGTTGGCTACTACTATTTAAGAAGGTTAGTTGTCTCTACCTTCCTAAGCGCATTGGTTCCCCTGAGGATGGCTGCTAGGGCGAGGCAGCCGAAACATATGTCGGGATGATCGCCGACTTTGTGCTTCACCGATATATTATTCGAAACTTTTTTTGCGCTTATGATTTTGTCTCTCTCTCTCTCTCTCTCTCTCCCTCCTAGTCCT